TTTTTTAAAAAAGAAACCGCCTTCTGAACATTCAATCCCAGTTGTGGATTGCCAATAAGAGGTGCATTCTGGAACCTCAAACTTTGTTTTTAATATTGGCGACCTCCTTACACTTTAACTCTCTCACACTTTCACCAAGCCCTAAATTCTCTTTTCCATATTCTTTAATTGCACTAGTTATCGCCGGAGAAGAATAGTTTTTCACGGCTTCTTGCTCAACTAAAACTCGAACGGCTTTTAAATGTTTCAACCTTTCACTATCCTCCAAAGTATGCGCATAATCGGCTGAATTTGAATACTGTTCAACTCGTACTTCTTGTTCAGTAACCAAGTGATATACCTTGATTTTGGCAGAACATTGATTACTGAGGCGAACCTTGGTCTTTCTACGTTTTTCGATCGGTACTCCTTCCTTTCGACCACTCGATTCATTGTGCTTGGTGAACCGGCAGGTATATACTTTCCAAGAATTTCCATTGGTATGGATTTTGTAATTAAATTGGGTCCAAATATTGGACACGAGGGGCCACCAGTCATCATCAAACTCTCTTAATGGAATTGTAACCGGTTGGTTAACATTAAAGAGAATATTGTGTTTCTCATCAGGGGTTAAATTTATTAAACTCATCTTTAATGTCAACGAAAAACAAAATAAAAAAAGAAAACTTGATGTCTTAAAGATAAAAAAAAATAAGTGTGCGCGCAACGCACATAGATCACACAGAAAAAAAAAAAACGTACGTACAACGTACAGTGAGTAGTATAAAAACTTAGTACAATACTTAGTTAAAAAAAACTTGATACGTGATGTACAATATTCAGGTTTAAAAAAAGAAAAAAAAAATTGCAAAAGCAAAAAAAAAAAAAAAAAATCTAAAAGAAATAACGATAATGCGAAAAGAGATCAAATGTAAGATGATCAATTAATTTTTCTTATTTATATTGATCACTTAATAATCACTATGTGATTATTGAGATGCACAATTGATCATGTGGGTACAAGGCTTTAGCGGACCCCTATAACTGGTAGATGTTGTATAGTAGTATATATAGTGGGGTATATACGAATTAGTAAAAACATTAAGGTTCTGAGTTAAATCAGAACTTAGGGTGCTTCTTGATAGAGGTACCCGAGAATGTCCATCTCACATGTGAGATGGTGTAGACAGTTGCATTTGGGCACCATATAGGGTAGCCAGGTAAGGTCATAACAACTACTTAGATAGGTTAAAAGTATATGTAAATATATGTAATGTTCGCTTAAATAGGTAATAAAGTTAATGACAAAATCGTCGAAGTTTTAAAAAAAAAAAAAAAAAAAAAAAAATTAATGTAATAGATTTAAAAACTCAATTTTGAAAAAATTTTTGATTTGTCCCTTTTCTATTGATGTCACCCTATATAACAAGAGTTATATTAATTACTAGTATGATTTAAAATCAAACCTCTGATTTATTTAATTACTAGTAGAATCCAAAGAAGTTGAACTTCTGATCTAAGTGATTACTTAGTAAGACCAAAGAAGTCAAATATTTTTTTTGATTTGTGAATATAAATCAGTAGTAGTATTTTTGTAAAAAGTATTTGTTTAGACTTTTTCTCCTTCTAATTTGCTTTTTAAATTTAAATAAGTTAGTATGATGTTTCTGTAAATAGCTTTTATTAATACTTTTCTTCTTGATTCTAAATTAAATTGATATTGTAATAAGAATTTTATGATCTTTTACAATAATGAATAATGCTTTTTTCTTTAGTCTAAATATACATTTCTAATAAGTTAAATAGCTATATTTAACAAAAAAATTAGATCAATTGCAATAAAATTATTCTATATATAGAAAGACCATTTTGGGACCAGAACTAGAACCAGAACCAGATCAAATTATAAGTACTATGTAATTGGTCTTTCTAAGTACTATATAGACCAGATCAAACCGATATATCCCTAGTTATAGTATTAGCTTATCTAGTTATTAATTTAAGTACCTATATGCAACTTGCTATATAAGATTTTATTTTCTTATCTACTATTTTGTGGATAGTTTTCAAACTTATTATACTATATATATTTTGCTTATATATTACTATACAATATCTACTAATTAATTTCTACATCTCATCATTTATCACAGTACTTCTAATTTATTTTTTATATAATTTTCAAATTGGTGTCTTTTGAGTAAGTACTTTTTATGCTTCCAGTTTGGTGTCTCTAGAGGAGTTACTTTAAGAATCTAATCTATATTTCAAATAGGTGTTGCCAGGATATAAAACTCGTATCTTAAGCCACCTGCTGCTATACTAGAATGTTATTTTATATCAATTCAGGTATTCATATTATACATCACCAAATTAGACTACTACTTCTTTTATAGTACTCCCTATTAGTATAGTATTACAGAAATCTAGATTCTTAGAACAGAAGTTAAGTATCTCATTTAATTACTAATCTAGAACCTATACTTTTGCTATATTTTGTTATTGACTTCTATATAGGTTGTATGACATATTACTCACTAGCTGTTTTTATTTTTGTACTACTGGAGTGCTTGCTTCTATACTTTTTAGAGATTCTTTTAGCTAGTTTTTCTTGTGCCAGAAGTGTTCTATATTTGGTAAAGCTATTCTTTTATTACAGCTCCTTACTATGTTTATCACTTCTGAATATATCGAAATTAGCCATTTTCCTAATCAATACCCAATGCTACTTTAGAGTTATTGGTGCTATTTTGCCAATTATGAATTTACATGTATAACCTTCTGCAATAATATCTTCTGTAACCCATATTACACATAATACCAATTTTCTTCATAGCTTGAAGCTCCTTCCAAGAATTCTTTATTAGCCAAATATGTACATTACATGGTCTTACTACTACAGAGTTAGATGCCTAAACCACTAGGCTATAAGACCCTAACCCCAAAAGCTTAAAAAGTATTTAATAATAAATTAAATAAAATTTATATCAAAAATTTTTTAAATCATATAATATAATTTTTTGCAGGCAAATTTGCCTGCAAATGCTTAACAAATAAAGAGATAATTAAAAATAATCTGTTTATCATTATATTAGGGTGAGTTAGTAAAAAAAAAGACAAATTTTTTCTAAGTAAAAGTTTTTCTAACTTTAAGCTTAAATAACTAAGCAATTATCTTATTAAATTTAATAAAAATTTTTTATTTTAATTCTATATAATTTTAAAATTAAGTTAAAAAATTTTTAGCAAATTTGAATAAATAGCTGTTAAGATATTTTAATTTAAAAATTAAAAAAATATTACTAAAAAAACAATTTGTACTTTTTCTACTAACTCACCCCATATAGTATAATTTATAATCACTTTTACTAAACTGCACCTATGATGTTTTACCACCTATGTTGTATTATCTTAAAAACTGGCTAATTAATATGCAGCAAAAATGCTCTACGTCCTCCAAAACCTTCATAAGCACTAAATACTAACTACAACAAGAAAAATTTATACTAAAAATTTACATAAAATGGTTTACAAACATATACACTTCCCCGACAACTATTTTCCTGACAATTATTTCCCTGACATAACCATTTTCCCGACAACCATCTCCTCGATATCCATTCCCCCGACATGACCATGACGTGATTGTTGGGTGAAATGGTTATCGGTGAAATAGTTATCGGAAAAATTGGTATGTCGGGATCGGGGAAGTGGTTGTCGGGTAAATGTCGGTAAACCTAAATGATTTCAATTAACTAATAGTTTATAAATTTAGTTACATAACTTACGTATCTACATTTGACAAATCGTAAAATGTGTATAAGTTATATATATCAGATATGGTACGTACTGTATAAATAGCATTACAGTATAATACAGTTAGATATAATTTTCAAATTTTGTTAAACATTTTTAAGTTTTTTTTTAACATCCAAGAATCTTTATTCACCGCAGCCCAATGTTGTCACACTAAAAAAAAAAAGATGATAAACAATGTGGCTCGTTCACCATTAGCACGGAGCTCGTAGAACGTTAGAGATGACGTTTCTGGCGTAGAAATTTCTATAAATATATCAATGATTCCATGACTCCGAACTCCGTAGTTAATTTATCAGTGCAATTGTACATCGTGTGCATCGGAGTTCACAATTTTTTATTTGTCATAAATAGTTATATATATAAATAAATAATATATATATATATATATATATTTATATTTATATATATATATACTACGTAAAAGATAAGAAATAAAATTAAGGTTAACTTATACGTATGTATATCGATATGACGACATATATATAATACATAAAAATACATAAATTATAAAATATATAAAATAAAAATATAATAAGAATATATTAAAGGCAGTTATCAAGTCAGACTTACCCACGTTTCTCCTCAGCTTATCGAAAATCTAGCTTAATACCTGTTCAAATTACACAATGTATGGTGATTGATATAACTTGTGCATCACGTATTTAATATCATCTGTGCCTCAACAAGTTAGTATTCCGGATTGATTGGTACATAAAGTATAAATCACAAAATTCCTTTGTCTTTGCGAATAAGCCTCTCCTTTTGCTTTACTTAGCTATTGCTGGCAACTGCGAATCTGAAATTTGTTTTTTTATTTAAACTTCGGCGTTTATCAATTTTTTGTTCGGTTTATTTAGTTTATTTCGTTTTGTTTCATCGCCAAATTAAGGTAAGTTATTTTGTCCTTGTACTATTATTTGTGTAATAAATGACTAAGATCGTCCTTATTTAATTTGGCTATCTCATAAATCCGTATTTCTTTTACCTCCTTTTTTTGCTTTTTTTCAAAATTATTATAATTTTATGAAAAAATAATCTTTTTGCCTGAAATTTTATTATATATTGAACTTCCGTGAAGTTTTTCTTTTTATTTAAATTATTATCGCTTTTAAAATAACAATACCTGTTGCGTATATTTGAATCGTTTCTAATAACTTGTCTTTATAAACGACCTTTAACAAAGGCTTTAAGATTATTTTATGATGGCTAAGTTTGCCTTTTTGGTCCACGTTTTTTTTGTCGCTCTCTTGTTAGGTAAGTTATTAAAATATAATAAAAATGTATTATTAAAATTTTTTTTTACATGTTCAATACTTTTAATTTATTAAATGAATTCACGATTGGTTGCTTTCAGTTTTATCACAAGCCGGACCGATAAAAGATGAATCATCCACTTCAGTTAGCATAGCAGAAAAACAAACTTCTCCTACCAGTGAGCGCTTTATAGTAGCTGTTCAACGTATTGATGATCTTGTAGGCGATGGAGGTGAACTGCTCGCGGAAAGAATCTCCGCAGTTGTCATTAAATTTGACCTAAATGACGAAGGTTTAAGGATGAACGATATCGCAGTTCCGATGAATGTCACTTCTGTCCAGGTAAGCTGCGGCATTATTTGTGGAAGTGTAGTAACTTTATTCATTTCATGTTATCATTTTTAACCCTTGTTAATATATTTTTAGGTACTTCAAGCTGAGATTGTTCCAGCAAATATAACACAAGAACAACTTCAGCAATATGAAAACAGCTTCGACATTGGAATGGTAACTGTCGAAGTTAATACAATTGCCAAATCTTATCCTACTGAAGATCCTGGATTCATTCTTCGTCAAATCGTAATTGCCGTCCGTATAATCGAAATCGATGGTGTAACTGTCGTTCAAAATGATGTAGTTGAAAGGATCATTGAAGCTAAGATTGTCAATACTGCAGCTCCTGTAGCAGATGAAGCTTCTGATGTAAATGGCGCAATGACTGGATCATCTACTCCTTGTAACTTAAATACCATATTCGCACGAATCCGTCATTGGTGGTGCTGTTCATCCAAGATCACTCGAGTAGCCATCATCTCCTTGTTCCTTACATCAATATTCGGTATCTTGTTTATGGTTATTCCTGCATCTATGCAAAGTGTCGTTAAGAAGAATCTTGGTTTGAGACAACCTTATCAAGCTATCTCAGAACAAAATGATGATGATGAAGATGCTAAAGTTGAACAAGTTATTTTCATTGCTGATGAAGAAAAACGGATGTTGATGGAGAAAGAGAAAGAAGAGGGTCAAAAATAGAGTTGTTTTTTTTTTTTAGCTTCGTAACTTTTTTAAATTGCGCATTTTTCTTTTATATTGTGTACTCAATTTAAGCTTTCGAAAATATGCTTGTATTTATCACTGATGTACTTTAGCGGTCTATTTTAATATGCCCTTGCTTTTTGAACAAATTAGACCAGAAAAATCATGTATCGAAGATTTTCGTTCATGTTTAACTATGTGTACGTACGTGTGTGAATAGCGTTATTACTTAAACATGTACGATAATATATCTAATATATTAGAATTAACGTATGAGAAACTACGTCACAATTTGTTTAATGTACTATTTTATTGTCCGTGCTTAAAACTTAACGTGAAGGATATTACTATAAAATGTATTTATATAAAGAAGGTTGTTTAGCTTTGTTAGCGGTTGTTTTCTACCTGATGTGACTGGATTAATTAGCATTTTTTTATTTTTTACAATCGTTGTCTTTACATTTGTATAGTTGCTTTTTGAGTACATACAGGATATTTGTTTACGGCGACTATTAATATGGAATATTATGTGACAAGTTTAAACTCGTTCTTGATGAAATAAGCAAAGCCATAGACATTATAATTTTACGAAAAAATCCTATCTCGTGTTTCAAAGCATTAAACATTTAAATCCTGTTATAACTTCTTTTGTGCCTGATAAGTCACCTTAGATCGAGCCCTCCACGTATTAAAAATATGTGGTCAATTTCGTTGTTGAAAGAGATCAATCTACTTATAACAGAAGTTTCATCACATAGTTGCCGTCCAAATCCCAAATTACTTGAGACTAATATGTCTCGATCATGGTCAAACTAAAGATTTTATTAATAACATTTTGTAGGTTAAATGTTAATATATATTGCTAAAAAATAAACATATAACCTAATGTATATATCACTATATTTGCGTTTGCTTTATATATATATATATTTACTATAGGTCAATGATTATATCACAATGATTTTTTCTTATATCAATAACCTTAATTTTCAAAATGAAATATTCATTATGTAGACCCGCCTAATCCTAGACCAATCAGTATCACCCATAATAAAGATCCTGCTGCCAAAGGAATTACAAGATTATCATCTAATCCTCCCACATCTATTAATTCACTAATGCCACTAACTATGCCTGTTATCAAACATAATGCAGGTAATGATAATGCACTTTTATCCGGTATCCAATTTTCAACTTCAATTTTATGAAATTGTAACCCTCCACCCCAAAATAATAATGCAGCCATTGACCCAACTGCAATGGCCCCAATTGTGCCTGCCAACGATTTACCATTACTGAATCTATAGGTATAGTGTCCATATCTTCTACCGATAAACGATGCGGCAGTGTCACACCACGACAGTATGAGTATTGATATTGCTGCGATGTCCTAATAATTCCCCAAAAAATATATACATACATACGATGTATATATAATTATTTAGTTAGTGTTTCGTAACATGATGAAATACACGTGACTCGTATTTCACAAATAAATTATCCATAAATTCACCCTTACGAAAATGATTATGTAATAACCAAATGACACAAGTTTTCTCATGATTTTTCATAATTGCTTAGAAGTATAAATACCTTCGGAAATATTGACAGCGCGCCAATACACCCAGCAAGGTAAAATACTACACCGTTTATTTTACCATACTTTTCTGATTCTCGCATCAAAAAACCCAATACTTTGATGTAAAGGTTATTAAATGAGACACTATTGAATCGTAATGCATCTGCAACTGAAACTATTACAAATACAATGAGTAGTATGTTACGGGTTGGGACAGATTCCGCGAACGGATAGATATATAAGGTAAGAAATCCTGATAAATTGAAAGAAAGGTAATTTAGTTTATCAAATAGGTGTCGGGTTGTATTAATAGCCCCACATATAAAAAAAAGAAATATATCAATCAATGTCTGTTACTAAAAATAAAAAAAAAAGCATTTAAATTAGAACTTCACAAACTATCTCTATGATTTTGGAATCTAAGAATACACCTTTTTACAGTCACCCAAACACAATTGTCTTACCTTGCAGTTCTAAGTTTAACAAGTCATAAAAGGTACCTCCTCAACTAACTTCGTTGCAGTAGTTAAACCTCATAATAAACAAGCTGATGCCTACCTATAGAAGTGTGTAAAAGCTTTCTTGGAATTTCCCATTCTTTTTTCGTTTGCTGTATATTGTTATCCTCGTCGTTACTCGTTAACCCCTGCTTTTTTCTTTTTTTCAAACCTCTTAGTTTATGTTTAAGGTGATAACCACCCTTTGATGTAATGTTACGATGTATAGCCATGGTATAATTTACTTCAAAGAAAAAACTTTTATGAATTCGCCTCACTCGACCGTTAAAAGTTTTAAACTTTTTATGCTTAGTGAATTTCTATTGGTCCAGTATGCAACTATGCGAATTTAGCTAGTGATATAACTTTTACGTAAACAAAAAAAATTCAGTCTCTGATTGGCTATTGATAAAAATACCAGTTAACATGAACCAGCAAATGGTTTTTTTGCATGTATTTTTAAAATTGCAGAATTGTTCTAGAGCGTCGTCATCACCACATTTGTAATCACAAACCAAAAAATATATATATTGTCTACTATCTAGATTGCTACGTATACTGTACGTACGTACGTACAGTACGCACTTAGGTATTTTAGGTTGAGTATGCCGATACAGTAAAGTTGTACGGCACAGTGACATAAATTAGTACAGATATATCATACGTACTAAAATCATGATCATTACATCTTTAACAAAGAAATTTATCATCACCTGTCTTTATTTTAACATGAAAAAAGCTACTTTGGCACTCACCTGACCATAAGCATTAAAAAAGAAATTCGCATTATTTTGAAAATGCTGGACACTGTTCAGTGAGGGCGGATCCCAAAACGCTGATGTTTCACAGACAGTACTGTACACTACGAATCTGCTAATTGTGTGATAAATACTATAATTCTATAATCGATATTTTTATTACGTTACATAATTGATAGTGTACTCTATATGCTGTATATGCTATTACATATACTGTAAAATTCATCATGTGACCAGCATTTAGACGATTCTGTCTATACCAGCAAATTGTCTTTATAAAATTGATTTATAAACATTACTGAATAATCCACAAATATTTTGCTATTTGAAAATGGCAAATAATATTTTTTTTGGCGTAAACTCACCCTAGTACTGTACGTACGTTGATTGAAGATCGATGTTGTAATTGTTCAGAACAATCAGACATCGATCTTCAACCAACGTACAGTACGTACTAAGGTAATCGTGTGAGTGTCAAAAAAAATATATTTGCCATTTTCAACAATTTCGAAAACAGCGATAAATAAAATGGGTCTCAAAGTATATTTTACATTTCTTTATATAAAAACAACCAATTAATTAATTATTGTCAATCGAGATCAACTAGACAATTATTGTGGTGCAGATCAAAAAAAAAAAAAGAAATCGATGATTTCTGATTTCCGATTTCTTAAATGTTTTTTTGAAGTTGGTGATTCATCATTTTGTAACATATTTGATTAGTATCTTTTGTAGGAATATAATTTGCACATTCATCATGTAAAGAATTTTGATCGTGTATTAAAATTTTGTTTCTTTTTTAGCCCGATAAAATTTACTATCGCATGTTGAGCAAATCAGGGTTGTTGGTTTACCGTAATTTACTAGTGGTAAATTTACCACCAACAACCCTGGAGCAAATCCAATCTTATAAAAAATATTACTTGGCTATTAGAAATATACAATATTAGTTGATAAATATATGTCATCAGAAGTAATTTAAAGAAATCGAAAATCAGAAAATCAGAAATCATTGGTTTCTTTTTTTATTTTTATAGCTCTGATGACGAACGAGGAAAATTTGAGATTCTAAGTTGTCTATTCATAGTTCGCAAAATAAAATTACTATGCTATACTTTTAAAAAATCAGCCCACTTTATTATATTGTATTAACATTTTTAACAATAATACTATCCCTTAACTGTTAAACTGTCTATGTATGTACATATACATACGTACGTATTACTGCACCATTTTTTAATTTCCTTATTTGGAGTATTTAAAACGAAACAATTAAAATCGCGGAGATTGATATTACTGTACCATTTTTTTTGATTTCCTTATTAGAAGTGTATTTAAAATGAAGCAACTAAAATTAAGACTAGAGCTGTTCTAGGGTTAGGATTGGGGTTAAGGATTGGGAAGGTATTGTGTAAAATTGATCACCTGACATTTTTTATTAGTGCTCCAAGACAGATTTGGACACTCATTTCTTTTTTTGCTTTCTAAAAATTTTATGATTTGATTGGTTAATTCATGTAAATATCTCAAATTAGGAGATTGGTGCGATAATAATGGTCACCGGCGGACCTAAGTAATGCTTTATTATCCGGTTTTTCATAAATTACAATAGTTTTGATCCGTTGAAACAATAATGGCCACAACGTTTCTTAACGATATAACGGATGATTTTAAAGAATTGTACGAAACTAAAGAAGATTATGATGCAATTATCATCGCTGGAGAAGAGCCATATATTAAAGAATTTCAAGTCCATTCTTTAATTATTCGTGCTAGATCATCATATTTTCGTAGTGCATTTTCTGCTAATTGGGCTGAAAGAAACAATGATCATTTAGTTTTAAAAAAGCCTAATATTCGTGCACTCGTCATCGAAATTATCCTTAAGTAAGTAAAAAATTATTAAAATTTTATAATAATCATTAATAATAATATGTATTAATATATCAAATAGGTATCTGTATTGTGGAATGGTGGAATTTCAAAACCAAGAAAACGAAACAATCTTAAAAGTTTTAATTGCAGCAGATGAATTTGGACTTCAAAAACTTATTAATTCTATTGAAGAGTTTTTAACCAAAGATTGTTACAAGCTCCTACAATCAGATCCTATTAAAGTGCTTGACTTTATTATTTGTCATAATGCATTCGATAATCTCAAAA